CGGTTGCAGTGTCCCCGGGGTCATGGGATCACCTTTTGTGACCTTCTGACAAGCAAAATCAATGAGAAAGCCAGATTCACTTCACATCCGTGTTACTAACTTAACAACTGCAGTGGTTCACTTAACAACTGTGGTAAGAAAGGTTGTAAAATGGGGCAAAATTCACGTAACAACCGTCTTGCTTAGCAATGGAAATTTTGGGCTCAGTTGTGGTTGTAAGTGAAGGACTACCTATATTATGATTTCCTCATAGACCAGGGGTAGGCAACCTTGGCTCTTTTATGACCTGTGGACTTCAACTCCCAGAATTCCTGAGCCAGCCATTCTGGCTCAAGGATTCTGGTAGTTGAAGTCCACGAATCATAAAAGAGCCAAGGTTGCCTACCCCTGCAATAGACTAGCCATCTTTTCTGAATGTCCAGGCAGATTTCTTTTCTGAATGTCCAGGCAGATTTCTACTTCATAAAAACAGAAGACTGTCTCCCACATTTTCAACACCTACCACCATATACAGGGAGTGAAGAGGCCCATTCTCTTACTGTCTTTCTGTCTCCATTGGCCTCTTCTGAGCCCCATAATCAGAGGTTTTCAATGGAAAGGAAAAGCTCTTGAAGCTGGCAGTGGCACACGGCCTAATCTTTAAGCCTCACAACCATATGGTAAAGTCTGGATCCAGCTGATCCAAGACCACCCTTGAATACTCCACATTGTGATCTATCATCTGCTACTCTCCTAGTAGTAGATCCTTCCAGAGTCCTTGGGATCTGACACATATCTCACTAGTGCAGCTCTTCTCAACTCCATCTTCCCTTTACCATTCTTCTGAAAAAAAATAAAAGTTGTCTTATTTGATTTAGATTTCAGTATCTCTGATGCTTCACAATATTGCTTATTGTGGAAAAAGAATGCCTTGTTTTATTCATTTTTAATCTTCTGTTTCTTGGGTTTTTTTTCCTGGAATTTTGTATGATCAGAACTGATATGGAAATATCTTTAATGATGAGTAGTAAGAAACATGAATAATAGTCCTGTTTCTCACCTTTCTGTTCTATGGTATGAAGTGGATTCCCTGAACACAATGCATAAAGAGTGAGATTCAAATAGTAACAATTCTCCAAAGCACCTGAAGGCAGAACAAGAAGCAAGGAGAAACTCAACCTCAAAATAAAGAGAAATTTCCTGACAGATAGAACAATTAACCAGTGGAACAGCTTGCCTCCAGAAATTGTGGATGCATCATCACTGGGGGTTTTTAAGAAGAGATCGGACAACCATTTGCCTGAAATGGTATAGGATCTCCTGCTTAAGCAAGGGATTGAACTAGAAGACCTCCAAGATCTCTTCAACTCTGTTATTCTTTAATTCCTTCAAATACTAATGGCCTCTAGATATGTAAATTTGATAAATTGATCAGAAATGTTCTTTATAGAAAGGATTATGTGGAATGCACCATGGATATCCATTGCATGTGTATAGAATATATTTTTTTCCTGAATTCTCAACATATGTTTAGTTGAGTAAACTTATTAATCAACTTCTAAGAAATGAGTTAAGTTGTTGAAACACTCACAGCCTTTGTTCTATGTCAATTTTCTTGCTTTTGTTGACATACGGCTACAAGGCATGACAGATCAAAGTAATTAAAGTTCCAATCATTTACCTTTCTGTGTTCGGTGTCAAGTCAGCTAGCCTTCATCCTCCGTACCGAGTAGTTTAATATTTTTTTTACATATCATTGCTGTGCTGTTTGCTCGGCTGTAGTTAAGAATCTGACAGCCTTTCCATTATATACTATGGAAATGAACATTTTGTATTCCCTCCAGAATACAACTCCATAAGTCCCAGTTTGCAAAAATGCTTTGTTTATATGAAATTCTTTTAAAACAATTCTGCAGGCTGAATCCATGCAGAAACACCACAAATGTAGTAGAGGAAATGGTACAAAAAACTTATTTCATGTTGTTGTTGTTTTTAAATGACTACAAATAGTATAATTTTGCAAGGCTTCAAGATTCTTTTACATTATCCTACTACTAATAAAAATATTTTCAAAAATTCAAGTAGTTCTTTTTTTCCTAAGTTCCTTGCAGTGCTTGAAAAGTGCTTTGTTCCACTATTTTATTTTATGTATTAGATCTTTCCAATTGCCAAGAGAATAAAACATCACTCTGATGCTATAGCACTCTGTTAAAATAGCTGTATATTTTAAGCAATTAACTAATTAGTAATTACATATTGTTGCAATAATACATTTATTGATTTTGCAAAAAAAAACAAAAACCAGAAAAAAGAGAAGTATTGGGAGAGAGAGAGAGAGAGAGAGAGAGAGAGAGAGAGAGAGAGACATTACCATATCTCCTGAAGTTAGATTATTTTTCAGTACTGAACAGCTAATAATTATTAATATAATGTATACTGGAAACTCTTGGAGCCTTGTAGAGAGATAGCAGTCCATAAATACAGCAAATAAATACATATTTACATTAAAAACCAGTTAATTTATTGTTGTCAACTTTTTGTCATAGCTTATCATTGGCTATTTCAATGTAGGAATAACTTATGAAAAGTGTCTGGAAATTACAATTGATGAATGAACATTTTTCTGACTTTTAGTTATTAATTAATGTTTACATTGGTTTTAACCTATTTTTTTTCTTTTGTATTTCACATAGTAGCTGCCTACTATTTATGGAACAATATCAGCCTATCCCAGGTCCTTGGGAAGGACTCGCTAGGTGGACAAAAATGCCAAAGCCAGTCTGGCTGACTGTGTGAGCAACTATAATAATTGCAAAAGTTACTTTATTTGGAACAACTTACTCTCTGAAGCGGTACCTTTAACACCATCAAATAACATCTGTCTATCAGGACTCAATAGATGGCTAAAAGTACCAAATCCAGTCAAAATATCTGGCTCACTATGTGACCAACTATAATAATAATAACAGAGGTAGGTAGATTAGTATGCTAAGTGGCATTCCAGATAGGAGCATGACTTTTAAGAGATGGGATTTTGAATCTTGTCGTATCCTTTTCAGATTTAGAGCTTTTTTGTTTGCTTAGACTCAAGTTACTTCTTCAGAAGTAACGCTCCCTCCCCCGATGTACTTGTTGTGGAGTAGAATTCTTTTGAGTGCTCACTGTATCCAGTAAAAGTGTGGTGGAGCAGTGGTTAGAATACAGTATTGCAGACTAACTCTGCTCACTGCCAGGAGTTCGATCCTGACCACCTCAAAGTTGACTCAGCCTTTCATCCTTCCGAGGTCGGTAAAATGAGGACCCAGATCATTGGGGGGCAATGTGCTGACTCTGTAAACCTCTCAGAGAGTGTGGTAAAGCACTGTGGGATAGTATATAAGTCTAAGTGCTGTTGCTATAGAAATAATCCTGCTGCTTTAGCCTGCTATACAACACTGTAGAGGTCATCCTCAATGTACAATCATAATTGAGCGTGGAATTACAGTCCTAATCTGTGGTAGTCCCTAAGTGGAAGACCACATGACCACACCCACTTTTATGACCTTTTCTGCGGTAGTCATTAACCAAATGCAGCAGTTGTTAAGTGAACTCTGTAATTGTTAAGTAAACATTGCAGTAGTTAAACAAATCCATTATATCCAATGGCTATTTTTTTCTGCCAGAAATGAAAAGTAAATGCCTGAAACTGGAAAAAAAAATGCAGAAAAATTATTTGAGTGCAANAAACCTCACAAAGAGAAACCATGATTATTTTCTTTTTAAACAATTCCTTTTGGGGAGTGGGTTTGGATATGTATTTGTACCCAAAATTGTATAAAATTGTGTGATGGTGTCTACAACCTGAAATGTTTGTAGTTCACTTTTAGAATTCCATGACACTAGGTGGACATCCATAAGGACACCTTAATTTTAACTCATTTTTTTTAGGAGATGGTTCCAAATGTTAAATATAAATTATGTTGCAGTGGTTAACAAAGAAAAAAGGGAAGAAAGCAAAAGTGAAGCTGTGTAAATACATTATGGTTTGAGGGTGAGAACATTTGAATGGCATTTTGGATCTCCTATTTTGGTCAGTGAGAGCCAGTTTGGTATAGAGGTTAAAGGAACTGGACTAGAAACTGGGAGACCATGAGTTCTAATCCTGACTTGGGCATTGAGTTATCTGGATGACTTTGGACCAGTTCCTCTCTTTCTCAGGCCTAGTGTCAGCTGCCACCTTAAACTTGTTTGTGCTTCACTACCATGTGGTGACAGACTGCCATGAACTCTGAGGAGGGTAGATGGGAAAGAGTATGCTTGGGGGAAAATGAAAGTAACTTCTGTATCTCACCAAGACGCTGCCTCAAGGTCACCCAGCTGGGAGAAGAAGGCAGCTGCATACCAACCTATGTTTGAACTGACAGGTCTGAAAACATCTTGCTTGAACCTGGTTGGTCATGGGGGAGTCAGCAATGGGAGGCAATTGAGGAAGGGAAAAGTTGAACTTAGGGATTTTGGTGAGCAGTTCTCAGTTCTGGCTATGCATTACTGCAATACACTTGACTTCTAATAAAACTATACTTTTTCTCAGCAAATGGAGCCAAAGATCATTTCTATTTAGAGGTTTAAGTATGGCAGATCTGACACCTAGGAAGAAAGCAAAAACAATGTTGCCAATAAAACCACATGGGCTTGTCCAACCATCACTTGGAATCAAAACTGATTCAAAAATACACACACACAAAATTAGCCTGCAGCCTCAGTTGCAATGAAGGGTGCAATCCATGTTGATCCAACTGGCAGCCAGCTTCTGTCCATAGACTAGGGAAGGACGGCCATGTTGTTCTTGCTAAAGGCAGCAAACTTTTTGTGCCAGCTCTAATTTATTTCATATATATTAATAAATTCAGTGTGTGGGTTTTCACTGCTACAATTTATCTGTTTTTTTTTATTATTTTTCTCAATGTTTTGTTCATTGCTACAATATATTTCTAATCAAGACAAAATGCAGAAAGACTTACCCTGCAGGGAAGTCACAATGCAAATCTTCTCTGTATTAGAAGTCCTTTTAGTAAAACAAAAGAGATTTGTCATGATTTTGAAAAACCGAGCTTAATCTAACAATCAGAACAGAAAGGAGTTCTTGCTATGGCCAGTTAGGAGTTTCAAATGAAGAAGAAAAACTTGTGCAAACATTTTCTATGGATTTCCAGAATTTTTTTTAAAAAGACCATTCTGGAAGTTTTAGAAGTGCAAGCTGCATTTGGAAAGTACTCCTGCTTGTTTCTTACATCCATCATCTGCTCACTGAGTGGGTTCATATAAAAATTCCGCATTTGCATTTGCATTTTTTACTTATTAGGTTGTTATCTCCTGGTTGTACCTAAAGAGTTAATGCAATTCAAGGTGTGTCATGAAATTGCAGATTTTTTCACAGCTTCCTACATTGCTAAGCTAGAATTTGGAATTCTTGAGGATACTGTAGATATGCTATTTCCATCCTGCAAACAAAATAAAAAAATAAGTTTATAAAATTACAACTTGAACTGTGCATTTATATATAACACAGCAATTTGTCACAACAAAATGTTCTGCATTAGATAACAATATACTGCTTTTGTTTTATGTAACAAATTTAGATGAATCCCTCTGATGAAATCCCTTGAATTTCAAGAGCTTATGAACAAAAATTGGACTGATCATATGTGCTTCTTTGGAAAACTCTTGTCCTGTTTGAAGAACAGTGTTTTCCTAATTAAGAAAACAAATCTTCATGGAATATGTAAGTCTAAACCAGGAAAAGAATTGCATTGTATTGTGTTATGGAGTGTATTGTCCTGCCTAGTTTTGCATTTTATTTGTACTTAATTGTTAGTCAATCATTTTATTTTGGTCATTGATCAGATAATATATGATAAGCAATGTAAGAAGGCATTATTTGATAGAGGGTGAGAAACCTGACCTGGAATATATTACTGAAAGTTACCTAGACAGGGAGCAATGTTCCTCTTTTGGAAATATCCCCCCTCAGACTTAGAATGAGACACTATTGATGATCCCTAGGCAAGGACAATGGCATGGCTACTGTCATCCAAAAGACTCTAATGGCTTTCAGGGGTGTTTATAAGCTCTTTGAGATTGTTCGGATTATGAATCAGAGTGCACAAGAAGGTCAGAACCAACCTTTATTGAGATAGGCTATAGAAGCGGTCCTCCATTAATTTATTTTATTTATTTATTTATTTATTTAATTACATTTATATCCCGCCCTTCTCCTTGCGGACTCAGGGCGGCTGACAATAGATAAAATGCTAACATGTTATACATCTAATTAAAAATCGATTAAAAAGAAATATTTAAATACGTCCAATTTAAAAGTAATTAAAACCCCTTTAAAATCCCTTAGGCCAGTCCCACGAGCTGGAACAACCACGTCTTGAGGGCGCGGCGGAAGGAAGGGAGATCAGGGATCACCCTGATCTCTGGGGGCAGTTCGTTCCAGAGGGTGGGAGCTCCCACAGAGAAGGCCCTACCCCTTGGGGTCGCCAGCCGGCACTGTCTGGCTGACGGCACCCCGAGGAGACCCACTCTGTGGGAGCGTACAGGTCGGTGGGANGTCTAAAAATCATTCTCTTTTTTTTTCCTTTTTGAAATTTTGGGATTTCTTTCCTCTTTTAGTTTTCCAAACGTCCCTTACTTCTTCCCATAATTCCCCAGATTCTCTTTGGCATAAGTTAAGTATGCTTAAGTATACTTTGATCTTATCTTCTGAGTTCTGAATGCATGCCCTTCAGGTTAAATCTTGCTAGCACAAATACAGTATCCTCTTTACATTTGGAAATTTAACCCCTATTTACCACTAATAATTTGTATCTGGAGTTGTATTGGTTGGTTGGGTTGCACTTCTGTCTTCTGTAATATAATATAAAGTTAATTTGATTTTAGTGCGCTCTATCCGGAGATATTCCGGTATAGCAATTGTATTTATGTTGTTGAAATAGCTATAGGTAATAAATAAAAATGTCTTGATCTAGGTTAGAGTGAGTTGTAATTGGTTTAATGATTGATAGTACTTTAGGCAAATACAAAGGCAGGTAGATAGCTAGTTGAGCAGACACAAACATGCTCCAAGATTTATTCAAAGAATCAAGTTCTCACCTGACAGTGGCACAAAATCCAGTCTAAGGTCATAGCTGCACGATACAAGTGGTGGGACTAGAATTTGGATTGCCAACATAGAGCAGGTTCACGAAAGTAGAGTGCAGAGAGGCAAGAATGGCTGTGACAGACAAAATCAAATACTAGAAAGTTGTATAAACTGAGCTGGTTCATATAGGTTTGGTCAAGTAGCAGAGTCAGAAGGATACAGGATCTCTCTGATGGAGAGTTGCTTCCAAAGAGAGTCAGCCTCAGGCAAATGAAGTTATGAAACCCCAGATGCCGGTGCAGCTCAAGAAAACATGTGGATATCCAGTCGAAGTTGACATTTACTGTACATACCATGGAATAAACTTGAATATAGTGTTAATTTATATTATTATATTAGAACCAGAGAGATCTATATTCATGTTCACACTTAAGCCATGAATCTCAGAAGAGACTTAGAGACAGTCACTATCACTTAGCTTAGCCTACCCCCATAGATATTTTTTTTTGTAAAAATAAATGGCAATCTCTCACTTTCCTAGAAATAAAGTGGAATATTAACATAAAAATACAACAATTAATGCAGAAATAGTTGAGGTTATGGTTACCTGCATCATAGTAAACTATGCTCAAAATTGTTAAGCCTTTACTACTTAATATTGATCTGGTTACAAAATTACCTGAGGAAAAATATTCTGTGCAAGCCAACTGAATCTTTGTCCCAGTCTTTATACGCTGGGATTAAAAAAGAAAAACAATCTAATTTAGAAACAGATATTTTCCCATACAGAATTTTCTTTCTTAAAATTAAAGATCTGGTATCAATACAGAGTAAGAAATCTATTGATTTTCACCCCTGAGTTTTGTTAGTTCCAAAAATATTAAGCTATTATTACTTTCCCAAATGAAAACACACAGCCAACCTTTATCAGCCCCAATTCCTGAAATGTGGAAGGATCACACTATATGCTTTCTTTCTAAGAGTGAATATCATGAAGACCCCCAGGACATGTGGCATTGGAGCAATACATAATTATTTTCACCTGCCTTCAGCTTTCCCACAGAGTTCCTTACTGGTAAAGAATGCTCAGCTTTCCCTGTAAAGGTTTTTAGAGATTTGATCTTGTCTAACCCATGAAGAGGATGAAAATTACCTTCTTTTTGAGAGTGAATAATTATCTTCAGGATTCTCCCTGGACATTATTTAGCAGCCTTAACTAGTGCAGAATAATGGCTAGCAGGTAGTTTTCTTCATATTATGTCCCCCACTCAAAAAAAAAAAATCTTAGGTTGCAGCCCATTTGTTTTTAGTCTCTATTGGACTTATTTTCAAACCATTAAAGCTTAAGGTTCACATATCTGAAGACATAAAGTAACTCTCAAACCAGCTTGTCCATGTCTAGGGTGTTGCTTAAGCTCCCCACATGCATACTTGTGGGATACATGTGTCATAAGGGACTGAGGTCTTGAAAAGATTTTAAAAGATGCATGTTGCACAATAAAGTCAAACAATAAGGAAATATATCTGTTGAGATAATGTAGTTCTTTTGTACTGGCTATAATTACACATTCCACTAGAACAAGGCACTGCTATATATGCCTGCTTAAAAATAAGCCTAAATGAATTCCATGGAACTTATCTGAGATAAGTGGTCATAGGACTGCAGCCTTAAACAAGGTTCTTTCCAAAACCACAGATATGTAAGTACAGTACCTGCTTTCAACAAACTAAGCATTTCAGGCTTGTCTTACATTCTTTTTCTTTCTTTTTTTTTCAACAGCTGCAATGTTTTAAACCAGAGACTGCAAACTTTCAGTAATGGGTGGAGTAAGCCTGCATATTAAAGCCTTCCCTTTTTCAATGTTTAAATATAAGATTATGGTAGAAATCAACATTCTCAAGAAATATAGTCATGCCTGTGTCATATTTGTATATGCAATTACACAACTAATATTCCATTTGAAAGTATCATAAAATGAAAAAGTATATCTAAAACATGTTGATATCATAGCTGAGGAAGAAGAAGGAGGAGGAGGAGGAGGAGGAGGAGGAGGAGAAACAGAGGAGGAGGAGGAGGAGGAGGAGGAGGAGGAGGAGGAAAGAAAGAAAAGGAGGAGGGAGAGGGAGGAGGGGGAGAAGGAGGAGGAGGAGGAGGAGGAGGAGGAGAAGGAGAAGAAGAATGCTATTATATGAAATACTATTATATTGATTCAAGGGAATCAGTAAATGGAATTTTTGTATCTTCTAATGAACATCCTGTAAATTTAGAAATATTGATACTTGGCAAGGTATAATTATATTTAATCACAAGGAAAAAGTAAAAAGGGAGAATAATTTAAAGGAATGAAAAAGTATATTAATAAATTAGAAATATGTATTGTTCTGAAAATGTTTTACTAGCACAGTGTTATTCATAAACCAATTCATTCTTCTCATATATGTTTTGGAAAAAAAGAAACATAAAGAAATTTGGAAAAAAGGGGAAAAAGGAAAAACTAAAAGAATAAAGGAAAATATTTATTGCTGATTAAAATATTATGTATGAATTCAGAATTGCAGGCATGTGTAAGAGAACTTTGTACAGCTACTGTAAGAGAATAACCCTATTTCAGAAACTTCTAGATACAATTACCTAAGTCTTACAAAGTGTGTATGTTATGTGCCTTTCACAGCTTGGCACTCTCCCAATAATTTGGACTGTAATTCCCAGAATTCATGGCCAATACTTGAACTATCTGGTAATTATGGGAATTGTATTCCATTATTTCTGAGAGCACCAGGAAAGCAACCTAACAGATAAGAATTAGATTCTTTTTCTTTCTTTCTCTCTTTTTTTCTTCCTTTCTTTTTTCTCTTTCTTTCTTTCTTTCTTTCTTTCTTTTTTCTCTCTTTTTTCTCAAATTTTTCAAATAAAGAAATAAAAACTAACAAACTAATAATTGAAATAGAAGAAAGAAAAAAAGCAAAGAATGAAAAAGGAAGCAAAGCCAAAAGTGCACAAAGAAAAAAGAGAAAGATATACAAAGAAATGGCTTCTGACTTCTTTTTACAGCAGATATCAGTATAGTCTTACTCTAAGTTTACTACATAATTTTCCTTTTTCCTCTTTATTTACTCTTTTGTCTAATCATCAAACCTATGTTGTAATTTTATTTTATTCCCAGTTTCATGAAAAATGTCCAAAAGGGGTTTCCAAACAGCATTAAAATTAATCAATGCATTTTCTCTTATCAAAGCTGCCAATTTTGCTATCACAGCAAGTTCTCCCAATTTCACCATCCATTCTTTCATTGTAGGCATTAATAATTCTTTCCATTGTTATACATTAAAAAGTCTTGTTGCTGTTGCCATGTATCAAAAGAAAATCCCATTGGTTTTTTCCCCAACTGTTTATCCATCAGTTCCAAAAGGAATATCTCTGGTTTGCATATTAATTTTTAAAATTTCCAAATTAATGTACAGTATATATTGCAATTTTATATGTCCGTCAAGCATGATAAAAAGTCTTCTCTTGTTGTTCACATTTCCAACATACATTTGAGGTACTGTTAAAATTTTAGGCAATTATCAACAGCACATCATTTTATAGAAATTCTTTTAAAGATTATAACATAATGTGAATGTTAATCCTTTCATTCATATGTTCTCCCATTGTTCCATGTGCATATTGTGCCCAAAGATTTTAGCCCATTTTATCATACATTCTTTCATCAGAGTCACTCACTCCTACATCCGAACTGAACAACAAGCTGAAAAATGAAATTTCAAATCAGGTAGACCTAAGCCTCCTCTTTCTTTAGCATGTTGTAACACCTTGTTCTTGATCTGCCATTTTTTTTACCTTGCCTTATTAACTTAGACATGTCATTCTGCCACTGTTTAAATGGTGCATCAGTTGTCAAAGCAGAAACAAAAATGACATACAAGGCAAAACATTCATTTTAATCACAGAAATTCCCATCAGCAATGACAATTGTAGTTTTTCCCATCCTGACAACATCCCATTTTTCAAAGGTTTTAATATCACTTGGCCTCTCTATAGCAATATCTGTATCTTTGCTTAATTTGAATCTAATGGGTTGATAGGCTTTTCATTCATATATGAAAACTATAATTATGATTTTTTTAAAGCTTTAGTGTCGGGTTCAGAAGAAAAGTAATGGCTTGAGAAACTAGAGTTCTTTTTCTAAAACCACCTTCTGCCACAACTGTTAAACTGAGTTGATGCTAGAAAGATTACTCAGCATGAAACCAAGCCAAAGTAGAGAACTGTCTTTTGCAAAATCAGATTATTGATCTGTCCAGCTCAATACTATCTGAACCAAGAGGCATCAACAGACTTATCAGAGTATCAGGTATATAACCTACAACGTAGACACCCCCCTCCCTTAAAAGTTACTTTTCCTGACCTTCTAAAATTCTGAATGTTTCTTGCATCATCTTTGCAGAAATTTGATAAAGTTTCTGCTGTAGTAGATAAGCTATTTGCTTACACTGTGGCATTGAAATATCAAGAAATGGAAACATGCAGGCTTCAGCAAGTGTAGGATGCTTGTTATAATCTGGGAGATTCATGCCCCTGTTGATTTCTGCTTGTTCAACTCCTAGGTCTTGCCTCTTACAAGACAATCTCTCTGTGGAACTGAGTTTTCAAAGCAAATACGTTGCATTCTTGGCCACACAGGTATGCCAAGAGTAACGCACATAGAAACAACAGATATTTTAATCTTTGCCTCTGACAGCCCTGCTGTAGAAATGACCTACAATCATCTGATCAACTTTCAGAATTACTTACAAGGTATAATCAAATATAGTCTCATCTCTTATTTGAACAAATCATGGAGAAATTGAATACATTTTTTTATGAATACGAGCAATGTGTTCTCTTCTCTGATAATTTTGACATTAAAATTCCATTTTAATAATCCCATCCTTCAGGCTTTGCAGACTCTTAAGGTATTAAAGCAAAAATTATCCTAAGCACTTAGATTATAATGTATTTAAAGATTAGACATTTCATGTTGAATATTAACCGCTCTACTTCCCAGAGGAAAAAGCCTATCTGGTGTATGTCTCTGTGCGTGTGTGTGTGTGCGTGTGTGTGTATAAATTAGCTATCCAAGATTCACAGTACCTTCTGTTCCAAGTAGAAAGCAGAACGGTGATTTTTTTTTAAAAAAAAATACTTTTAAAATATTAACCACTGTTGTTGATGTATTGTTTTCCTTCTTCGGAACACCTTTGCATCTGATTTATAAAATGACTTCAGTTGCATGAGTGTTCAGAGAAGAGAAAAGAGACAGAATTTGCTGTTAGTACCACTGCCATAGTTCTAAGCAAACATGAAAGCCAAAGTTTTCAGTGGAAAAGTTTTTATTCAGTTTCAGGTTTCATTCCCATGTTAGAATCTCCAAGATTTAATGTAAGTAGAATCATTATCTCCCTTGCTAGTTTAAATTCCTTTGTGGTTTCATGGCTTAGCCTATGTGCCTGAGCACACACGCATAGGCACACACAGATATTTTCTAACAGCCTCTGATCCTCCAAGAGGACTTTTTGTTACTTTCAACTTTCTGGAGGCTCAGAGTGAATCAGGGAATCCATTTTGGTTTCCATAATCACCATGGAATGTAAGCAGAGCAAAGTTTTACTTCTTAGATAGAACAAACCCTCCCAAAACCCTAGCAGAAGGAAATCCAGAGTACTATCTATCTTTAGCAAAAGGGATGAAGGGAGGTTCAATTGGCCTGGGGACAATAGGAGATTAAAAAAAGAGAAGGCAATGATAGATGGAAAGATTTTAGAAGAAACAAGCTATAAAAGCTAGATTCTAAATGCCAAAAGCCAAATTATCAGACATCAAATGTGGTTTTAAATTTTTCATCTGGCCACACCCATTCCCTAAAAGACAAAGTAGTGCTGCTGTCCAGATGTCCCACCCATAATGAATTAGTATACTATTTGTAGTGCCAAGAAAAATGCTGTAATGTTTCTAAAGTGTTAGAAACTATGATAAATCAACTAGATCTGTTTATAGGAAGAGACTTACGCTTCTGTTAATTGTGTGTTTTTCGTATTCAGCTTTCTTTAGATGCTCGGCTGTTGTATGCAATAGTTCCTCATAGCTCTTTTAAAACATTGAATTAGCTTATACGGCAAGACACATGCCTCCATATGCAATCCTTCATAATATTTGTCTAGGAGCCAATCTAAGTTAAAACTGTCCTTTGAAAAATTCCTG